GAGAGAGAGAGAGAGAGAGAGAGAGAGAGAGAGAGAGAGAGAGAGGGAGAGAGAGAGAGAGAGAAATATGTATTATTATATCCATATTAAATATAAAAATAAATATATATATATATATATATATGCGTATTAATCTATGTATGATATATATGTAATATATATATAAGTAATATATATATATATATATTCGTTTAGTCTATTGTCTATTTATTTTCTCATTTTTACTTCCAGTAGGCAGGGTGTATATATCTGCATATACACTCCAAACAAACAGCAGTGTAGTTGCATATAGACTCCGTTAATTATTTATTTTGTTTTATTTATTTTGTTTTATTTATTTTGTTTTGTAGGTAATGAAGGGAGAGAGAAGGTTGGGGCTCTGCTGCGGCGTACAGAAGCAGCAGCATCAAGACGAGAATTGCTGCAGCTGATGGGTAGACTATCAGCAGCAGAGAAGAAAGAAGTTTTAAACGAAATGCATGCATTACTATCACAACAGTAAAATAGAGACAGCATATTTTATTTGTCTCTTCATCTCTCTCTCACTTTCTCTTTCTTTCTCTGCTTTTCTTTATATTATATTATACAGAGGATGATATGAATATACATATATATGTATACATATATATATATATATATATGTATATATCTATATTTATATATATCCTTTGTACGAGAAGGGAGTAGTATAGGAGTTATGTTGTGTAACCTGTTGATCAGAAAACAGAAAAATAAAAATAAATAGATATCATTGAATGTGCAGCTGTATATACACTGCAACAGCATATGCATGCAAACAGAGACAGAAAGAGATTAAAAGAAAAAACGAAACAGAGAGACACTCAGATAGCTCCCTATACACCCCAATTGGGAATATATATATATATATATTTTTTCTTTCCGTCTATGTTTGCGGCTATCAGAGTAAAGAAGGGCTTATTGCTGTTGCATAAAAGAAGAAGAAATGTTTTCTTCTTCTTATATCTTTTTCTTTATCCGCTGCCTTGTTGTGTGTTGTTTGTCTCACGGAGTGTATTATAAAACAAAGTGCTGCAATATCTGCTGCATTTTGTTTATTTATTTATTATCAACACATTACTAATTTGTATCTGCAAAGCCAATGCATACACCTCAACACACTATAATAATGCATGCAATCACTTCTCCCTGGGGCTGCATCCATGCAGCCCCACTGTATGCATGCAACTAGGTCAATGCATGCATGCAGCTTCAATGTTTGCGTGCATGCAGTCCCAATGCATGCATGCAGCTTCAATGTTTGCATGCATGCAGTACCAATGCATGCATGTAGCGTCAATGTTTGCATGCATGCAGCATCACTGCATGCATGCAGCCCCACAAGAAAGAGGGAAAAATGGATGAGTATGTGGGTGGGTGTGTTGCATGCATTGTGGCCGCATGCATGCGGCCATGCAGCCCCAATGCATGCATGCATGCAGCTTCAATGTTTGCATGCATTTGGGGCTGTAGTGCCGTTGCTGCTAACTCTAAAAGCTCCTCCTTTCTTCTATCAGCCAGCTGAAGCGAGGCAGTTGGCTTTAACTCTATTTCATTCATTTGTTCAATTGGGAAGATTCAACACAGAAGAAATGCTGCAGTAACAACTTGAGGTGTACAGACACCCAAACGCATGCATGCATGCATGCATGCGTTTGGGGGTTTGCATGCGTGCATGCATGCATGCATGCAGCTAGGTGCAGCAGCAAAGTTAGCTTTGAATATGAGATAATTTCTTATTATTACTGCACTGTATAGACAGAGAAGAACGCCCAAAGAGAAAACAAAGAAGGACAGAATTAATTATTGAAAGTAAAATAAAATAAATAATCAAACAGACAAATAAACAAATAAAATAAATAAAGGTTAGTCGTCCTCTGCATTACAACACCAAACAGAAAGGCAGCTGCATTTATAATAATATTTATTTATTGTTGCTTCATAATTTATTTACTGTTCCTTCACAATAATATTTATTTATCTTTGCTTTATAATTATGTTTCTTCGTCATATATACAATATAATATAATACGCAATATATGTACATCTATTGTGCATAATATATATATATATATATATATATACATATGCATATATATATTACATATATACACTATATATACATATGTATATATCTAAATTTATTTATTTATTTATTTATTTATTTATTATATATATATATATTATTTATTTATTTATTATATATGATATATAATATATATTTATTATTAATTTCCTTTTGCTGCTGTTTGGGGCTGTTGGCGTCCGATGATATTAAAATTCAAAGTCAGCAAATAAAAAAAATTAACAAAATATTTTTTTCTTTTGTTTCACCTTCTGTGCATCTCTCGTCTACTCTCCCTTGGGCTTTTTGCGGTGTTTTTGCGACTGCCTGCTTGGCTGCTGCAGCAGCACAAGCAGCAGCACCACCTGCTGCTTCTCCGCAGCAGCAGCAGAAGCAGAAGCAGCAGCTGCTGCAGTTCTGCAGCAGAAGCAGCAGAAGCAGCGGCAGCTGTAGCTGCTTCTGTGCAGCAGCAGCAGAAGCAGAAGCAGAAGCAGAAGCAGTAACACCTGTTGCTGCTTCTGCGCAGCAGCAGCAGCAGCACCAAAAGCCACTGCAGCAGCTGCTTCTCTGGAGCAGCAGCAGCAGCAGCAGAAGCAACAGCAGCTGTAGTTGCATATAAATGCGTCAACAGCAGGAACCATAGCTGCACAGCTTCTTCAGCAGCAGGAGCAACAGTACTAGTAGGTGCTTCTGTGCATCAGCAGAAGCAGCTGCTGCTGCTGCTGCTTTTGTCCCCTGCAGCAGCAGATGCTGCTGCTGCTTCAAGCGTATATCTGCTGCTGCTTGTCTCTGGGGGAGCCATTGGGCATTGCTCTTCAATAGGTAGTTCAATGAAAGCCGTTGAAATTAATTCTTGTCTTCTATATACACTAATCTTAAAACAATATGAAGGCCGCGAGTAGCGGTGTTGCTGCTGCAGCAGCAAAGACAGCCTTTCTATCTCTGCTTCTCGCTTACGCCCTGCATCTTCCTCCCTCTCAGCATCTGCTGATGCTGCTGCTGCTGCTGCTGCTGCTGCTGCTGCTGCGCGGCTTGGGGGATCCTTGAGGTGACGCTGAACAGCAGCAGCAGCAGCAGAAGCTGCAGAGACAGCGGCGTCTGTGCTGTCTCCGCAGCTGTTTTTTCTGCTCTTCTTTTTTCCTTCAGCCTCCTGTGGGCCATCAACCTGTCTCTTACCCCTTTTGCTGCTGCTGCTGCTGCTGCTGGGGTCCTTTGGGCTCGCGCTCGTGTCGCTGTTGTTGCTGGAGCTGCTGCTGTTGTTGTTGCTGCTGCTGCTGCTGCTGCGGCTGCGCTGCTTCTTGGGGCTGCAGCCGGATGCTTGAGACATATCTTTTGCTGCTTTGGTGTCTTGCTTCTCAGCTAAAGCTGGGGGAGAACTGCTACCGCTGCTGCTGCTGCTGCTGCTGCTGCTGTTGCTGCCTTTTTGCTGCTTCTTATTTCCTGTCTCCTTTGGTCCCTCCCGCAGCAGCGCCTGCTGCCCCGTTGTGTTATGACAGGCCCTCCTCAGGCGCATGGATCTGCTGCTGCTGCTGCTGCTGCTGCTGCTGTCGTTGTTGTTATTGCTGCTTCTGCTGCTGGGTTGGCTGCTTGTGGAGCCTGGGGTTGCGCTTGCAGGCTTCTCTTTGTTTTTTTCTGTCGCCTTTTTATCGTTCGATCTGCTGCTGCGCCTTGTGCTGCTGCTGCTGATGCTGTTCCTGCTGCTGCTGTTGCCCTCAGCCTTCACAGATGCTGGAGCGGCCCCCTTAGGCGTTCCTGCTGCTGCTGCTGCTACTGCTGCTGTGTCTCCATCAGCTTCGCCTGCGGCTTCTGTTTGCTCTTCTGCTGCAGATGGGGACAGCTCTTCTTTAAGGTTGAAGCTGCTGCTGCTGCTGCCAGCAGGAGACAGCCTTTCGGAGAGAGAACGGCTGCTTCTGCTGCTTCTGCTGCTGCTGCTGCTGCTGCTGCTCGAACCACGGCCCCCTCCAGGTGTCTTCGGCGGCGAACGCCCCACAGCCTCGGGGCCCTGCAAACGCATGCAAAGGCGAAGCAGCAGCACCACAGCTGCAGCAGCAGCAGAAGCAGCAACAGGATGGTTGCAGCAGCAAGCAGACAGCAGCACGGCAGCAAAGACGCAAGCAAGCTAGCAGCAAAGAAGAACCCCACAAGGGGGAAGCAGCACAACTCCTTCCTTATGTTGCTCTCCTGCTGCTCCTGGTGATGCGCTGCTGCTGCCTCGGCAGCTGCAGCCTCTCTCTCGCTGCTGCTGCTGGTGCTGCTGCTGCTACGGCTACAGGCTGGATATACTGCAGCAGCAGCAGTAACAGCAGGTACTTGGTGTGTTTTGCTGGGCGTGAATGTTTACTGCAGCAGCAACATGAATGACGTCTCTGCTTCAGCACCAGCAGCAGCAGCAGCATCAGCAGCAGCAGCATCAGCAGCAGCAGCAAGTGTTTGTGGTGTACGTACGTAGTTTTGAAGGTCTACTGCAGCAGCAACATGAATGATGTCTCCTTTTCGTACATGTGTCTCCTCCGGCAGCAAAACTATGCCCTTAAACCAGCAAGACGTCCCCTGCACTGAGCGTGCTGCTGCTGCATCGTCGCTGCTGCTGCTCGGGCAGGTCTCAGTTCCAACAAACACACCCTGAAGCAGCAGCAGCAGCAGCAGCAGTTGCAGCAGCAGCAGTAGTAGCAGTAGCAGCAGCAGCAGCTGTAGCAGCAGCAGAAGCAACAGCAGCAGAAGCAACAGCAGCAGCAAGCGCGGTAGTAGCAGCAGCAGCAGTAGCAGTAGTAGCAGCAGCATTAGCAGCAACAGCCAGCAGCAGCAGCAGCTACAGCAGCAGTAGGGGTATTCCGACAGATGCCTAAGAGCAAGCACCGCCGCCCTACGAGTAGCTGGTGTTGCTGCTGCTTCTGGTGGTTGCTGCTGCTGCTGTCTGCTGCTGCTCTTGCTGCTGCTGCTGCTGCTGCTTTAGGTTTGCTTACGGGTGCGAGTTCTACTTCGTTTGTAATGCAGAGGCCAGCGAAAAGGCCTTCACGAGCAACAACAAATTTGAGGTGTCTCTGCTGCTGCTGCTGCTGCTCCATTGGCTGTTCAAACAGCAGCTCTTCAAACACAGGAGGGACGCCGCCCTCTGTCTCTTGTGTCTCTTCTGTCTCTTCTTTTGCTGCTGCGTCCTTCTTTACCTGCAGCAGCTGCTGCTGCTGTTGCTGTTGCTGCTGCTGCTGTTGCTTCTGAATGGTGCGCGCCCTGGGGTCTGAGTTGGGCCCCCGCAGCACAGTAACAGCAGCAGCAGAGTGTGCTAGCAGCAGCGGCTGCTGCAGCAAACCTACTGCTTGCAGCAGTCTCCTCCTTGGAGACACTCTGCTGCGCTGCGTAAATGTATGGTGCGGGAAGGGCAGCTGCTGCTGCTGCGGGAAGCAGCAGGGCCGCAGCAGCGTCCGTGCTGCTACTGGGATAGAGCGAGGGAGACGGGGTGTATGCACACCTTGCTGCAGCTGCAGCAGCCGCAGCATCTGCTGCAGGTGCAGCACCACATCTGCTGCTCCTTCATTACCCGCAAAATCTCCTATTATCTCGTGCAGCAGCAGCACGTCACTTAAATCCTCTTGTCCTGCTCCTGCTGCTGCTGCTGCTTCTGCTGCTGCTTCTGCTGCTGCTTCTGCTGCTCCTGTACGGGTTGAGTTGCGTTTGTTGTTGTTGCTGCTGCTGCTGCTGCTGCAGCGCTCTGTGCGCATATCCTCGTTTTTCTGGTGCTGATCCTGCTGCTGCTGCTGCGGCAGCTGTTCCTGCTGCAGCTGCTGCTGCTGCTGCAGCACCTTCTGCCGCTGCTTGGGTCTAAGGAGCTTCTTAAAGTGTGCTGGGGAGACGTCTGTGGTGTATGCACATACCACCTTGATTTGCTGCTCATAACCTAAAGCCTTCACAAAGCAGCAAGCGCTCGTGCTGCTGCTGCGCTCAGCTTCAAATGCAACAGCACGCCTTGCCCCCTCCCGTGCTGCATTTATAGACAGCAAAGCAAAGGGGCCCGTCCCTATTTCTATCACAAGGGGGCCCTCGGGGGCCCCCTGGGGGCCCCTTTGACAGGTGTCTTGGGGGCCACTTTGACAGGTGTCTTGGGGGGCCCCCTGGGGGCCCCTTTGTGAGGCCCCTTGGGGGCCCCTTCGGGAGGCCCCTTGGGGGCCCCCTTTAGGGGGGCCCCCTTGGAGGGCCCCTTTGGGGGAGGCCCCGTGGGGGCCCCCTTTGTGGGGGGCCCCCTGGGGGGCCCCCTGGGTTGGCTTAAGGTAAATTTTTAATGCTTGTTGATAGGCCTGAACCCTCTGTATATCTTCTGTCATAGTTATGTGGTTGCGAAGAAGAAAGCGAGAAGTAATGCTGCAGCTGTTGGGATTGTCTGTAGGCAGCACCATCTGCTGCAGCACACGCTGCTGCACCAAGGCGTCTATCTTGTCTTGCAGAGACAATTCTTGCTGCTGCTGCTGCTGCTGCTGCTCCACATCCTCATGCGGCTGCTGCTCTTGCTGCTGCTCCTCGGGGGTTGGAGCCTTCACCGTTGCCTGCAGCTGCTGCGATGAACTGCCCTGCAGCTGCTGCTGCAGTTGCTGCTGCAGCTGCTGCTGCAGCTGTTGCTGCAGCATAGCCTTTATTAATAAAACCTTCCTCTCTACCGTTTGATTCGGCTGTGGTTGAGCTGCTGCTGCTTCCTGCACTGCCTCCTGCTGCTGCTGCTGCTGCTGCCTTAATTCGTTCTGCTGTTGTTGCTGCAGAAGTGCTTGCTGCTGCAGTTTTTGCTGCTGCTGCAGTGCCTCCTGTTGCTGCAGTGTCTCCTGCTGCTGTAGCAGGGATTGTTCCTGCAGCAAACGCTGCTGCTGCAGTCGCTCAAGCTGCTGTAGAAGGCGTTGGTGCAGGTTTTGCTGCTGCTGCTGCAGCAGCTGCTGCTGCTGTAGCTGCTGAGCTGCTTCCGTCCTTTCTTTCATCGTGTACTTCAGGTCTAGCCCCAACTCTAAAAGAAACTTTTCTCGGGGCCCTATGGATTGCTGCTGCTGCTGCTGCTGCTGCTCTTGCTCTCCCTCCTCCTCCCGTTGCTGCCGCTGCTGCTGCATTCGCTGCCCGGTGCTTTGCTGTCGCTGTGCTAACTGCTGCTGCAGATGCAGGAGGAGCTGCTGCTGCTGTACAAGAAGCTGCTGTTGCTGTTCTCGCTGCTCACGCTCCTGCTGCTGCCGTTGCTGCAGCTGCTGCTGCAGGAGCAGATGCTGCTGCTGCTCAAGAAGCTGGTTCCGCACAGACGCTTGCTGCTGCTGCTGTTCAGTCCGCCTGCGTCTTTGTTGCTGTTGCCATTGCTGCACTAGCTCCTGCTGCTCCTGTTGTTGCTGCTGCTGTTGCTGTTGCTGTTGCTGCTGCTGCTGCTGCTGCAGTCTTTCCTCTCGTCTCCGCTGACGTCGCACCTGCTGTTGCAGGCGCTGCCGCAGCCGCCGTTGCTGCAGTTGTTCCAGCCTCTGCTGCTGCTCTTGCTGCTGCTGCTGCTGCTGCAGTTCACTGAGGCTACGCCCATCGTGTGCTTCCAGAAAATTAGTCGTTACTGCTGCTGGTGCTGCGACCGGCGCTGCTGCTGCAGCAGCAGCAGCTGCTGCTGCTGCTGCTGCTGCCTCATCGCCGCTCAGAATACGGCGAAGGCTCCCAACGAGGGCTGCAATGCTGGGAGTCTCCTGCAACAGCAGTAACAGCAGCAGCATCAAGCGCAACAGCATCAGGCGCAGCAGCAACAGAAGCAGTAGCAAAAGCAGCAGCAGCAACAGCAGCAGCAGCAACAGCAGCAACAGCAGCAGCGTATCTCGCCGAGGTCATGGCTTTAAGGTATTTAAACAAATAAATAATTACACTGAGGAAATAGGAATAAACAAGCAGCAGCAAAAGCTGACAATACACCGCAGCTGAAACAGGTCTATGCAGCACTATTGCTGCAGCAGCTGCTGCTGCAGCTGCAGCAGCAGCAAAGCTGCTGCAGCAGCTGCTGCTGCAGCTGCAGCAGCAGCAAAGCTGCTGCAGCTTAGGTTGGAGGCCCTCGATCTGCAGAGTCTGCTGCAGGGCATAACTCACATTGTCCATGCTGACAAGGAGAGACAGCAAATTCAAACCATTTGGCGTTGCTGCTGCTGTTGCTGCTGCTACTGTTGCTGCTGCTACCGTTGGTGTTGCTGCTGCTGCTGCTGCTGCTGTTGCTGCTGCTGCTGTTATGCACGGCGGTGCTTGATCTGGGTTGATGAATGCTGCAGAAGATGAGAGGAAAGGCAGCAGCAAATAGGAAAGGGATTGCTGCAGGTGTTGGTGGGGTTGGTGAGTACACCCCCCTAACTGCGATGAGGCTGCTGCTGCTGCTGCTGCTGCTGCTGCTGCTGCTGTTGCTGCTGCTGCCTCAAAGGAGGATCAGGAAAGAGAAGAAAAAGGGCCTGGAAGGAGGCGCCTTGTCAAGTATGCGTACCACAGCATCTGCTGCTGCTGCTGCCAGCAGCAAACTTCACTGCTACACTGCTGCTGCTGCTGCTGCTGCTGTTTTTGCTGTTGTTGTCTGATGATGTTTATGCGAAGAGGTTGTAAGCGTTTCGATTAAAACCCTGTGTGTTGTTTTTGTTGCTGCAGCGGCTGTTGCTGCTTATCCAGTAGCTGCTGCTGCTGCTGCTGCTGCTGCTGCAGCTGCGAAGACACCCAAAAGGCGAAGTGCAGACATAGAAATGTCTATGTGTTTAATCCCTGAAAAAGAAAAGCCAAAGATATTAAAAACTTCAAATCATTTCAAAAGCATCGGAGGGTTTGTATTGCTTGTGCTGCTGCTGTGGTTGCTGCTGCTACTGCTGCTGCTGCTGCTGCTGCTGGTATTGCTGCTAACGGATCGGTAGTCGCTGGCGCTGCTGCAGCAGCTGCAGCAGCAGCAGCAGCAGCCCTGCAGCTTTTAAAAATACTATTTCAAAGATTTATTGAC